ACAGAGAACAGCTGATAATGTTTATTATCTCTTATACTGTATAACCTTTAAATGTGACCATGAGGATCAGCTGTTCTATAAAAGCTGACTGTTTCATAGAGTTTATAGAGCTGCAAAGATCAGCCGACTGACAGAAAGTGTCTTCGTAGATTAAATAAGTGTCGTCGGACGTCTGGATCGTAAGTTATCAGAGAAACGAGCTGAGCTAACGTTAGCAGCAGCAGTTTTAAGAGATTTAAGGATTTTGTCGTGTTGAATCCTCGTGACAACTGAAAGGTATTCAGAAGAGTAAATCACGCCTTCCTCTCTGATCTCCCTCTGCAGGTGTGGCAGACTCTGAGCCGGTCCATCCGGTGCTCCAGGTTGCCGACGTGCAACGCCAACATCCAGCGGGAGCGGGCGGAGATCTGGGTGTTCTGTGACGTCGTGCACTGCGAGCAGGCGGGCCGCTTCCTGAAGGACGAGCTGCGACTGTCGGGGAGGATCGGCCTGTCTGCTCACAGGCTGGGACACATCTTCAGCATGTAGACGTCTGTACAGATGTGTTTACAGCTCCAGATGTTAGGGTCACACTAAGATGTGTCCGTAAAGAGACGAACAAACAGATTTACACTTTATCTTCATTGTGTAAGAGCTTTTTCACAGCAGCTGCATTTTCACCTGAAATAGTAAACACAGGTGTCACCGATGACAGCGATTAAGGTTCGGTTCCATTTAGTGTAGTGGAGACGACACACACAATAGCAGCGCTCTCAGGGGCCGATCGCACAGGTGTGGCCCCTGAGAGCGAGGCAGCGTCCGAAACCAGGTGATCAAATATGATTAACAGAAAAAAAATGCACTGAAGCTGATGGAACATTTCTTAGTATCACTGTGTTTACCTGTTTCATGTCACAATAGCTGCTGTGAAAAAGGTCTCTACTTGATATTTGACCCCAGTTCGACCCGATTCCCATCAAATCTACTGTGTTCTGACTGCTGGGCTGTATGCTGGTACCATGAGGAATACCAGGATGTGTACGATGTTTACATGTGCAACATCAGGATACCGGAGCTCATGTAAACACAGTTATCAGTGTGTGAAAGAACTGTGTGTTTTTAATGGTTAGAGAGCCTCAGGGGGAGACGGGGAGAGGGGGATGGGCACACAAACATATGGAACAGTAATGTGTGTCTGATAGAGTCTAATTTACAACCCTTAATAAGGCTTCTTCTTCTTCTACCTCCTGTAAAATGCAACACTCTATGAAATATGCAGAAACAATCCTCAAGTGCAGAACTTCATGAATATTTAATATAAATCTACTTCATTAAACTACTGAACTGAGGGGGGGTTGAACCCTGGAGCAGCCACTCTATATTGTATATTTATGAATTTAAGACATTGTATTTTTCATACTGATTGTGTCGGCGCTCTCTGGTGTAAATAAAGGTTTGATATTTTGTTTAAACTGTGATGGACGACTGAACGTACGCCGCTGCATGTGATCTGTGCAGTTTGTTCTGGAAAAGCCGCAGCAGTCACATGATACTGGAGTCACCCTGCTTTCCACTGACACCGAAAAATATCTGGTCCTCCATCTCACACACGCACACACACACACACTCTCAC